TATGTCGCTTTCTTTTGCCATTTTTTATCTGACTGTGATACGTAGATGGAAAGACTTGGCCCAACGCATGTCTGCGTCCGGCTTAATATTCATGTCAGTCCGATCAATGTTTAACGTACACCTAGTGCAAAGGATCCAAGTGATAACCAGGGTTTTACTTTGAGTCACCGATTAGGAGTAATTCTTAAGCCATAATCAAATATGATGGTGAGAAATCATTTGACAAAGATACATCTCACTAAGAAAGTAATCTATTAAATGCAAACGACATGTCACTTAATGTTAGTTATTTGTTGACTAACGAAGGCTTCTATGATGGACCTTTCTATGAATTAAAGCTTATCAGAGGGATGTAGTTGAACACCGGTCAGTATTAGTGTTCTCAATACAAATCCAGTTCAGCGATTACTGCCTTAGACGATAACCATTCGGATAATGAGATACAAATATTAAATTCACGGTCGTTTAAACGATCGCAGATTTTCAGTATGTAAGCATTATGAACCTAAATGTTATTCAACAGGACAGCTCAATCTGCCAGACATGACTCCAAAGAATATTCGTTTAGTCTTTTTCATTTTGTCCTAATATTTAAACAAATTTCAAACTCCACCTGGAGTCTTCTGATGATGACAACCGGTCTCGATCTCGGGTAAAAAGGATGGTTGAACATAAGGTTAGAAACCACATGGAGTAGAAAAGAACCTAGCTAAACAATGACGACCAGAAAAGATCATTTAAACTGTACTGGGAATGGAAAACCATTAAGTAAGAGTTGTGAAATCTCATGGTGAAAGCTGAGGTTCTTCAGATATCATAAGGCCGGTGTTTTTGTACTCTCATCATGAGGAGGAAAATGTCCCCTCTTCATACAAACAAAGAGATCTAGTGAGACTGTCCAGAGAAGCAAAGAAGCGCCTACAAAATGAGAATCTCATGGATCCGGGATCATTAAAACATCCTTCAAAACGAAGGGATTACAGTGGACGATATTCAGTCCCACGCCAACACCAGTGATAATAGTGGAGACAATAAAGATCAGTACGATGAGAGGCTGCAATCGGTCGTAGATAAGTGCCCAGAAAAGGACCTGACCATCATTATAGGAGAACTAAACGCCAAGATCGGAATGGACAACATCGAGTATGAAGATATCATGGGACAACATGGACTGAAGGAAAGAAACAAGAATAGCGAGAGATTTGCAAATTTACGTGCATTCAACAAAATAGCTATAGGATGCACTATATTCCCCCACAAACGCATACACAAAGCTACATGTGTCTCTGCAGATCACACTAAATAGTACGAGGACGATCATATTGCATCACGAAAAAATTCAGAAGACCCGTGAAAGTCATGAGAACATAAATATAAGCTGGCTTAGGTTCATATAAGTATCCGCTGGTTGCCAAAATTAAACTGAAGCTAAAGAAGAACTGGACAACTGGAGAAACAGCACTACAAAGGTTTAATAAAGCCTTCCTTTGAGATACTAGCAAACTCAACGAATTCATGATAGCTCTCAGCAACAGGTTCCAAGCTTTACAAGATCTACACAAAGAAAAAGAAACTACTATGGAGGACAGCTGGAGAGGGATTAAAGAAACAATAATCTCGACGTGCTAGGAGGTTCAGGGCCACAGGAAGCATCATCATAAGGAATGGATCTCCATCGAAACCTTGAGTAGCATTCAGGAAAAGAATGACAAGACAACAATCAACATCAGCCGAACAAGAACAGAGAAAGTCAAGGCACAAGCTGAACACACAGAAGCAAACAAGCAAGTGAAGAGAAGCATTAGGGCTGGCAAGCAGAAACACGTGGAAGACCTAGCAATAACAGAGGAAAACGCTGAAATAGAAGGACATATGTGGCAACCGTCTGACACAACAAAAGTTCTTGCAAGGAAATATTGTAAACCAGAGTCACCAGTCAAGGACATAGAAGACGAACCAATCACTTAGATTCAAGAACAGAAGAACGGATAGATAGGACAGTTTGAGGAACTCTTCAATAGACCAAATCCATTGATTAGACTTCATATCGAAGCAGCCTACACAGACCTTATAGGTGCCACCCAACCAACGATCACAAGAATCACCGCGACTATCAGACAAGTCAAGAGAGAGAAAGCAGCAGAACCTGATAATATGCCGGCTGAAGCACGAAAGTCAGACATTGAAGTAACAGCAAACATGTTACAAGTTCTGTTGAGGAGGATACGGGAGTAAGATGAAGTGCCGACAAGTTGGAAAGGGGAAACCTTATCAAGATATGGAGGAAAAGAAATCTGAGCAGGTGTAAGAAATATAGAAACTCCACACTACCAAATATACCAAGAAATGTTTCCAACAGTGTTGTTGAACCGGATGAAAGATTCAGAAGACGCTCTGCTTTGAAATTAACAGACCAGATTCCATAAGGACCGGTCGTGTACAGATCAATTTGCGACACTACGGATCTTTGTTACGCGGCCGTCTGGATGAGGCTTATCACCATACATCAAATTCCTTGACTATGAGAAAGCATTTGGAAGCGTGGGTAGTATAACATTATGCAATCTTTTTCTACGATGTGGTGTGCTTCAGAAGATCGTCAACATAATTGGAAATTCATTGGACGGACCAATTTTCAGAGTGGTGCATGCAAAACACCAGACAGACACATTTCAAGTGAGAACTGTAATCTGGCACGGCTTTTTACTCTCTTTCTTCCTCACGTATTACAACTGATGGCTCGCAATAAACTTGGCGATTTGCACTTCGCACTCGGCCTGACCGCCCTGTCTCATACATACCAACAAATGCAGATAAAGACAGCCAGTGTAGCAGCAGTCTGTACATCACTAGGCCTCAAAATACACAAGGAAAAAGTCAAGGTCCTCAAACACAACGCGCAGTCCACCAACCCAATCATAATTGATGGAGAAATTTTGTAACAGTCGGAAATACTCACGTATCTGCGTAGCACCATCGATAAATAAGAAGAGTTTGATGCTGACGTGCAGGCGAAGACCGGCAAAGCAAGGACTGCATTCACAATTGATTGATCACTGGGTGGTGATCAATGTCATGCTTGTCTAGTCCTTATTAGTGCAGATCGAATGCTATCGATCATGTTGCAATGTGGCCACCAGTCTAAGTGACTGGACACTGCGGGCACTATGTATTGAGATTTAGATGGTGGTTGGAGGTAGTCAACAGGAAACCTTGCACCCGGGTTTCGTGCTACTTGGCACTCGTCAGCAAGGTGTACCTGTAATCTTGAGGGAACTGATGCTCCCTGGCTGATTCGATCTCGTGTCACCCAGCTTCACAGCCAGGGAGCATCAGTTCCCTCAAGATTACAGGTACATCTTGCTGACGAGTGCCAAGTAGCAAGAAACCCGGGTCCAGGGTTTCCTGTTAACTACCTCCAACCACCATCTAAATCTCAAGGACTGCATTCTCATAGTTGAACTACATATGGAACTCAAAACAATTGTCAACCAATATCATAGTCAGAATCTTCAATATGAACGTCAAGACAGTTAGTTATATTGTACGGAGCTGAAACTTGCAGAACTACCACAACCATCATGAAAGAGAGACAAGTATTCATAAACGATTGTATACGTAAGATACTGAATGCCCATTGACCGGATACCATCAGCAACAGCCTACTATGGGAGAGGACAAACCAGCTTCCAACTGATGAGGGAATTAGGAAAAGACGCTGGAAGTGGATAGGACATACATTGAAGAAATCATCAAACCGCATCAGGAGGCAGGCGCTAACTTGGAATCCTGAAAGGAAACATAAACGAGTAAGACCACGGAACATATTGCGTCGGAGTTGAAAGCTGACATGAAAGGGATGGATAGAAAGTGGAAAGGATTGAGCTGGACAGAGTCTGATGGAGAATGCTGATGTGCGATATATGTTCGTCTGCAAGGGGTGGCATATGTTTGTATGGAGGTAAGCTAAAATCAAACATTCTTTGATTTCTCTTGCTATCAACCTGTAAGACAGGAATACTTCAGGTTAAAAGCTCTGTGACTAAACATATGTGCCGAAATGAGTTCTTAAACATATTACGTAGAAATATATTGATTTAAATAATAGCACCCATAAAACTAGCCGTCGCTATAAGAAAATTCCCATAGCAGTGCAGGAATATAGAGGGGTATGTAATGATGTTGTACATAGCCCACACATCTCTTCAGCCCTACCGAACAGTGATCTGTTTTAGTCTTCGAATGTACTTGAAATACCCTCACCTCAGGCTTATGAAAGGTAAAGTTCGTGAACATTTGGAATTCACAAAAAATAGGTTGCTTATCTGGATAGTTAATTAATTTACTTTGTGACAACTAAAGAAGATATCTCCAAATGCTTCCTCAACCACCTGGTTTATAAATAATCACTGGTTTATTTTTTCGTCCTTCAATAATAAATACAGAAGTTCCCTAGGCTGTGATTAAGTCCTGTAATATGTATTTCTTCAAAGATGCTGTTCCCTTCTCAAAGTACTCACTGACTCGTTTCCCAAAATTATTTTGATGTCCGCTTAATTATTCAATCTTGGAAAGAATGTTTTGATGAAATATCAGTTCATGAATTATCTTCATCCTTATCCAACAATCACGCATTTTCAACCAGCAACAGATTTTAAGGAACTGTTTGCTCGCTAATAACTGTCAGACAATGATAGTTATGGCCATTGGATTTTGAACAATTTAAGGTTTAATCAGAGCGGCTCATATATTTCTAAAGGTTTTTGGTGAGTTGAACTATTAGATCCTGGTTTTGACCCCATTGTTATCATAATCTGGGGTTTTGTTATTGGTGATTGTTATCTATTGATTTTCCCAATAAATTTAACTGCATTGTGTGATGTAGCTGGGTCGTCGACTTACTTTCTCTTTTGTTCTCTTCCCCATCATTCCTCAGGCAACTGTGCATGCTTCCCTAGTTCTCAGTAGTACCTGGCTAGACGTGATTCGCTACAGGGTCAATGGGGATACTTGATAAAATCGCCGATATTGAAAATGAAATCGCAAGGACGCAGAAAAATAAAGGTTTTTATCGCCTTGTGTTATATTATCATTCTTAAAAAGCGACGGAGTATCATCTCGGTTTACTGAAAGCTAAGCTCGCCAAGTACCGTTCTCAACTACTGGAGACACAAAACAAAGCTACCAAGGTATGTCCATTCATCGTGCTTACTCTGTAAGGGTGAAGGATTTGATGTTATGAAATCAGGCGATGCTCGGGTATCACTAATTGGCTTTCCGTCCGTCGGGAAGGTTTGATATTTTTATATCCAGTTGCTGATTTCCTTGTTCTTCTAGTCCACTCTCCTAAATTCTTTGACTTCTACACACAGTGAATGTGCATCATATGAGTTCACAACTTTGACATGCATACCGGGTGTTATTGAGGTATCTCACATGATTAATGGTACATCATTTTCAAGTATAAAGGCGCTAACATCCAGTTATTGGATCTTCCAGGGATAATAGAAGGGGCGTCACAAGGTTAGCTACGTATATGTTTCGTTTTTTGGCCGTTTACACGGGTCTCAGTTTCCTTTATCTTCATGTCGTATATCTGGTTATATATTTTTGTATTCATAGTTGGTACCGCTAGCTATGAAAGGTCGTCATTCGAACTTCTCTTATTTGTATGACTTTTTATTCCAGGAAAAGGGCGGGGGCGCCAGGTGATTGCTGTTGCCCGAACGGCTGACCTCGTACTTATGATGCTTGATGCCACCAAGCCGGATGTCCACCGGTAAGTATTTGAAGAGTTAACCAAATAGAGATTACAGTCATAGTGTAGTGAAGGAGAACACAGGATAGGTTTTAGCACCAGAGAACTAGCAAAATGCTTAAAATTCTGATTAACATTTATGAGGGCCTTAACCAAAGTACTCGTTGTTTTTACATCATACATGTTTATAGCCACGAACTCCACAAGTAAGCACCACATATCTGTGTAGCTGTTCACAGCTTTTAGTGAAGATTTTCTAAATTTCATATCACAAATCGGGAGAGTATTTTGTTCAGCACAAAAAGGTCTCAGATCTGAATTTTCAATATAACCACTCGGCTTAAACTGTTGTTTCTCAAGTAGAAACCCGTCACCTTTAAATTCACTAGTCGCCGTTTCAAATATGTTGGTAGTATAAACCAACCGTAAGTTATCAATTCATACTTAGTTTTTTTCAGAACCCATCTCATGTTTTCACTAAACGAGTTTATTTTCTAAATTCGATTTCAGAAAGTTACTTGAAAACGAACTAGAAGCTGTGGGCATTCGATTGAATAAAAACAAACCAAATATTTATTTCAAGGTAATCTTAAATTTGATCACTGTTCTAAGCTCCCTAATTTTCACAGTCCGTCATAAGAAATAACTGAACACGTGGTTCGGTTTTATAAGTACTTGACGATGAACTCCCACAATTGAGTTATATCTCGTCTCCCTGTGACAGCTGGGTGGTTTCGTTTGTCAGTGACTGGGATTCGACCAAGCATTCACATCCAAACCCATGAAGTATCTTATTAGAGCCAGCGATATTACATTGCTTTGACTTCGGAAAACAAAACAGAACTCGAATACTACCACAGGTTCATGTTTTTTGACAAGCTTTGATCACTTTCCTCGTATTGATAAATCATCTTAATTCCCGGTCTATCGAGAAGATAGTTGCGGTAAGAGTTGTCAAATACTAGCTTTAACATTCAAATAGGCGAGGAACACGATTAACTAAATCACGACTTTTTCAACGTTGGGGATAGCTAACAGTCGTATAATGTAGCTTCGATGTTATTTTTTTCTTTTCCTCCAAGCATATTTGTTCTTTGCCACAGTACATTATTACTGATGGCCTCTGGTCAATGGGGAATAAACAGCTTTGTTTGACACCGGTTGTTACTTAAAGTGAATATGTGGGCTGCTGTTCATTCACGGCTATGCAATGCGGTCCTTCGTAAGAGTTCTGTATAGTAGTGATCTTACCAGGTGATTCACGTCTCATATCTCCTTCTATTTCAGCGTTTTCCTCTGTTATTGCTAGGTCTTCCACGTGTTTCTGCTTGCCAGCCCTAATGCTTCTCTTCACTTGCTTGTTTGCTTCTGTGTGTTCAGCTTGTGCCTTGACTTTCTCTGTTCTTGTTCGGCTGATGTTGATTGTTGTCTTGTCATTCTTTTCCTGAATGCTACTCAAGGTTTCGATGGAGATCCATTCCTTATGATGATGCTTCCTGTGGCCCTGAACCTCCTAGCACGTCGAGATTATTGTTTCTTTAATCCCTCTCCAGCTGTCCTCCATAGTAGTTTCTTTTTCTTTGTGTAGATCTTGTAAAGCTTGGAACCTGTTGCTGAGAGCTATCATGAATTCGTTGAGTTTGCTAGTATCTCAAAGGAAGGCTTTATTAAACCTTTGTAGTGCTGTTTCTCCAGTTGTCCAGTTCTTCTTTAGCTTCAGTTTAATTTTGGCAACCAGCGGATACTTATATGAACCTAAGCCAGCTTATATTTATGTTCTCATGACTTTCACGGGTCTTCTGAATTTTTTCGTGATGCAATATGATCGTCCTCGTACTATTTAGTGTGATCTGCAGAGACACATGTAGCTTTGTGTATGCGTTTGTGGGGGAATATAGTGCATCCTATAGCTATTTTGTTGAATGCACGTAAATTTGCAAATCTCTCGCTATTCTTGTTTCTTTCCTTCAGTCCATGTTGTCCCATGATATCTTCATACTCGATGTTGTCCATTCCGATCTTGGCGTTTAGTTCTCCTATAATGATGGTCAGGTCCTTTTCTGGGCACTTATCTACGACCGATTGCAGCCTCTCATCGTACTGATCTTTATTGTCTCCACTATTATCACTGGTGTTGGCGTGGGACTGAATATCGTCCACTGTAATCCCTTCGTTTTGAAGGATGTTTTAATGATCCCGGATCCATGAGATTCTCATTTTGTAGGCGCTTCTTTGCTTCTCTGGACAGTCTCACTAGATCTCTTTGTTTGTATGAAGAGGGGACATTTTCCTCCTCATGATGAGAGTACAAAAACACCGGCCTTATGATATCTGAAGAACCTCAGCTTTCACCATGAGATTTCACAACTCTTACTTAATGGTTTTCCATTCCCAGTACAGTTTAAATGATCTTTTCTGGTCGTCATTGTTTAGCTAGGTTCTTTTCTACTCCATGTGGTTTCTAACCTTATGTTCAACCATCCTTTTTACCCGAGATCGAGACCGGTTGTCATCATCAGAAGACTCCAGGTGGAGTTTGAAATTTGTTTAAATATTAGGACAAAATGAAAAAGACTAAACGAATATTCTTTGGAGTCATGTCTGGCAGATTGAGCTGTCCTGTTGAATAACATTTAGGTTCATAATGCTTACATACTGAAAATCTGCGATCGTTTAAACGACCGTGAATTTAATATTTGTATCTCATTATCCGAATGGTTATCGTCTAAGGCAGTAATCGCTGAACTGGATTTGTATTGAGAACACTAATACTGACCGGTGTTCAACTACATCCCTCTGATAAGCTTTAATTCATAGAAAGGTCCATCATAGAAGCCTTCGTTAGTCAACAAATAACTAACATTAAGTGACATGTCGTTTGCATTTAATAGATTACTTTCTTAGTGAGATGTATCTTTGTCAAATGATTTCTCACCATCATATTTGATTATGGCTTAAGAATTACTCCTAATCGGTGACTCAAAGTAAAACCCTGGTTATCACTTGGATCCTTTGCACTAGGTGTACGTTAAACATTGATCGGACTGACATGAATATTAAGCCGGACGCAGACATGCGTTGGGCCAAGTCTTTCCATCTACGTATCACAGTCAGATAAAAAATGGCAAAAGAAAGCGACATAATGTCTTGAAAACAATAGTATGAAAAATCAGACCGTAAGGATATCATTTCTAAAGAAGTGGGGAGGTATGTATAAAAGGATATTGGAATTTAAAGTTAAACGAAAGTGAAAGAGTCAATATATCTGGACTTCTGTATGCAATTCTGACTTATGTTACCCATGGCCTTCAACCACTTGTCGCAGTTGTAATGTAAACCTACCTAGTAGTCTCCACCTTTACAAGTAATTTTGACCAAAAACGGTGTCTTCATCGTCTGATGCAACCTTTCAGTTTGGCTAGCACTAGCTCTCTTCCAGCATACTGAACATGCAAGCATTGCTCGTGAAGTTAGATATGCGTAATACGTTTATCAATCACCTCAGTTGATAAAGACTCGATACCTTTGTCACATACCTCATGCCTAACCTCAATAGTGCTCACGCGGCTATTCCAAGAAACTGGGACAAAGTTTCAAGGACACCTGTAATTAGAAACCTTTGGCCTACCCATTTCTTTTACTTTCATAGACCACGTTTCACACCTATAAGGCAGGACAGAGCAGACTTGCACAGTATACACGCCTGCTGATAAAGAGACGAACCTCTTGTTTACGTCAAAAGTGAAGCCAGTTTTTAAGTATCAACTACCAAAAATTGATATATAATATTGTATTCAGTATATTCGTTGTCTGAAATAAATTAGATGTTAATGTTTTCATGGGTTCATTTCTCTCCAGTTGTCTGTGTCTTTATTGTTATGTCATGCTGATATGGATCGTGTTATTTACTTGTACTATCTAGCAAAAGAAGACAGGTGGATTAAAAATCACATCAATGGTTCCCTTAACAAAGATAAACGAGAAAATGACTCAAATGATACTACAGGAATATAGTATCCTTTTTTAGTCAATATTTTCACTTTTTTACTTCTTTTGACTTCATTATATAACCGCTAATATATAAAATTGTATTGTTGAACAGTTTTAATTAGGAACAAGTTGTCTTGTCTATCCGCTTCAAATCCATGGCAAAAGGAGTCACAAAATTAATAATTTGTTTCATAGCTGTACGACTATTTTTCTGGTCGTTTGCAATGTGACACTATTTGGTCTGTAAAATGAATTCAATAACTGCGAGAACATCTCTCCTTTTTTATGAAAAATTTGAATCACCTAAGTAACTCCCAAATAAATTAGAATTTTATTTGGCAACATTGTCAGAATAATTAAGACACTCTTAGCTTTGTACTTCAATTTAGAATACCTCTAGTATCCACTAGCTCATCATATATAGATCTATCATGAGAACTTTACCTCATAAATAATTTGCCTTGAACAACTTCAAGTTCGCTCATCTAAAATGTAGAATAAACACAGAGTTCATGATTATTCAGTTCAAGTAAGTTTAAAACAGGAAGGCTTATTGTGGTATTCGGACATTTAGAAAATAGGTAACCCAAACGTTCGAGCAGGTCTCCAATCATAATCAAAGTCATTAAGGAAAATTAAGTTGTATATCACATTTACGATCCCCATAAATATCTAGTATGATCCGTTTTTTTGTACTTCTGTTCACCTCAACTTCGTGTTGCCCATTATGTAGAAATATTTAATGCAGAAGTCATCTTTCGAGAAGATTCTACACCGGATGAATTTATTGATGTAGTAGTTGGCGGTCGAGTATATCTGGCTTGTCTTTACGTATTTCGGTTTCATTTCTTTAAAAAATTCTGGATTTAGGTGTATAATAAAATTGACCAAATATCACTTCAAGAAGTTGACAGATTAGCAAGACAGCCTCATTCAGTTGTTGTTAGGTTAGTTTAAACCTTTTTTAAAGAATTGTTGCTTATGCACGAGTTAATACTTCGTATTATTTTTCTCCAGAGTTTCCCTGCTATCTTTTAATGGGACAGCACCATCTGTTTTAGTAGTATATTTGATCTCATACTGTTCTAGTTAGTTTGTGAAATTTACGGTAAAGTTACTGTTCATTTTACTTGGTGTTGTTTCACTTGTATCTTCCCATTGTTATTTAGGACTGCGGTTGATAAGTCTCATGTTGGTATATGTGCATCTTGTGCGGATTACTTCGATATAGCCTTAAGTCACATGCTTTTTAAGCAGAGATGGATAGTGCAGTCCTAAACAACAATAGGAAGATACGAGGAAAACAACACCAAGTGAATTTAAACTTCACCCGATTGCACAAGCAGGTGGCTATCAGGACTCAGTAGCTAAGTGGATAACGCGATGGCGTTTTAAGCGAACGGTACGGGGTTCGAGTACTAGAGTGAACATCAGCTCTGCGATGCACGTACATCCAACTGACGAGTCCCAAATAGCATGATACGCGCGTCCTGGATTCCACTGCTGGCCACTATCCATCTTTACTGTTCACTTGTTTTTCACCTTTATATATCAATAAAGTGTCTTGTCTATCTCTTATTGTTGAGTAACGTTCTTGAGTCTGCTGCTTGCTTGTTTAGACTGCATAAAATTTAATAAATGCTTATTTTAGATATGGTTTAAAAACATATAACTAATAATAACCTAGGATATTTGAAGTTCCTCGCCTAGCTCATGTGAGTTGTTAGTTTTTTAGTTTAGTCACTTTAAGAACTTGCTTCACCTCACATCTATCCCAACTGTCATCGCATGCAACACATATATTGATCATGTATGCTTCTAACCACTTCAGTTTTCACAAGTTCAGTTTCATAGATAAAAATACTCATCCAAAACTTCTACTTAATGTTTTACCGCCTATTAAGAAGTACTTTTGAGACGACCCATATAAAGATTTTTCAGCCCTTTGATTTTACCAACCTTCGCTAAGCATATAACATAAAAGTTTAATACTATATATATTATAGAACAGTTGTGTTCATGCATATGTACAATGTATTTCTGTTACCAAATACATTATTACATTGCTTTCTTTTTTTACCCAGTTGCAATCTAAAACTGAATTTGGATTACCTGCTAGAAAAGCTTTGGGACTATTTAAATTTAATTCAAGTATTCACTAAAAAACGTGGACGTAAGAATTAATTAATGATTTCTGACTTCACTTAATTTAATTCATTAGAAAAACCAGATCTTGATGAAGGAATTATTTTACGAAACGGTTCAACAGTTGAACACATTGTAAGTTTTATTGTATTGTTTCCTGATAAAACTAGTGGTGAAGTTACTTTTCGAGTCATTTGATATGCTCCAGGGATCTTCGTGATTAATGATCATTGAATGTTATATCTGATAAATCACTAAACTTTGGCATTTGACAGTTTTTTCGACTCAGTGGAACTGTCTAGCATTCAAATGTCTAATTTTGGTTATAATGCAACGACTTACACTTAAAGTATAACCAAATATTATTGACCCCAATCATCCATCACATTTTTCTGACAAATCAAGCCAACTCTTTCAAATACCTACATTCCAATAAGAGTATAGGCTTATTAGTTGTAGTGAATACCATAGGAGGTAACAGTTTATGAGTCTTGTTCACTTCATTTATTCTGTGAGTCTCATCATTCCTGAAGAATTATGTGCTAATGAAATAAATATATAGATGCAATAACTTGCGTAACTTGTTAGGTGTTCACATATCTGAAAGCTTGTATGGTGATCAGTTGTTCTCACTGTATTACTCAACGTCTGCAAAACATAAATGTGAGGTTTGAACACATACGTAGGTTGCAAGTGTTTAGTCGTAGGTGCCTTAAAAGTTTATTGGCATATGGTTGCATTAAAGAGCAAGTATAAGTATTGTCAAAGTTAGACTCAGGACACAATAGCAAATGGTAGTTTATTGTTGAAACCATAAGCTCTCATGTCATTAGATGGCTGTTTCATTTTTTATACATATCCGGTCACTACCTACATCAATGCACAATTCTAACCGGTGTATAAATAATTTTAAAGACCTGTTTATAAAGTCACTGACCTTTTGTTTCAGTTGAGTTGCAAGATATAGACTTCTTAATTGGGGTCTACCTAAAAGTCGTCATCTATATTTGAAGACTCTTACTAACATATATTGAAATTAGGCACATTAATCTTTAACCTTTGAACTTACCACTGTAAGTAAATCTTCATTCCTCTATCTCAGTCCCTTTTAAACTAGATTTTAATACTTAGTTTTCCAACGCAATTAATATAATTGGTTCCGCTCTTTTGGTTTTCATCTTGTAAATTCCCTTTGTCAATGTTTTGTTTTGAAGTGTAGTCACATGAACTAAACCACATTTGTCCCAATCCCTCCACACTCTAACTGGTTAGTGTGAAAAATAATAATATACATTAAACCTTGTCATATTTTGTTGCCGAGTGTGTTCAATTTAATTGTTTTCATAAGCAGTTCATCATGAATTTTTCTTCATCCTACGATCTTTTTCTCTTTTTCATCTAGTGCCATTCAATTCACAGATCTTTAGCATCACAGTGTAAATGTGCTCTTGTGTGGGTAAGAATAGTCGAAATTCCAGTGTTTACTTTGTCATTTATTGAGTGGATAAATTCACATATTTTATTTGTCATAAAAAACCAATTCTTTATTAGTCATTTATTCTCAATGGTATATAATAGCCGAAATTTAAGAAGCCTAAATTGTCTTAAAGTTTTTTGAAAATGTTTGTAGCTCAACCTGTAAATATTTGTTTCTGTCAAATACTGAAGAGTTTCACTCCAAACACGTAAAACCGATGATAATGAAAACGAAATACATGAATAAAATAATTAATTATTTAGAATCTAAGGAAAGGCTTAATGCATCACTATGCGTGGTAATTTGTTGACTACATCTAGAGACAAACTGTAGATTTAACACTTCGATGAACCGGACAAATTCGTAAGCAAAGAAAACTAAAGTTGGTATAAAAAAGCTTATATAAAAAAGTACATCACTCCGTTAAACTAATTTTTTCCCTCTTTACATTTTTAAGGGAACAAGTGTTAAATTCAGTCCACAACATGTTGGATTGAATCACGTCTTACATCATCACGATGTTGTGCAAATTGTAAAGAAATAATGATTCAGTGGATTAATATTTCAGTATGTTATTGCAAATTGAATTCTCCATGTCTTTCTTTATTGATGAATATATTGAATTTTTGGATACTATGTAGTTTTACTGTTATCATAAGAGGGACACTTTGGATGGACGACATTGACCTATTTCTGTATTGAATAAATCTTACCAGTTACATTGTAGTTCATAAGTTCGGATATCCCTCGGTTTATAATCGTTTAAGTTGTTCACAACCTATAAGTTGTAAGTTGCATTTTTTTCCTTCACTGTCTATACATGGAACGAGAACTAATCCATAACTTCAAATCAAGCTAGTTTATAAGGACCAATACTCTGTAAACGTTTCACAGAACATTTACATATATTTTGCTTCTAAAATAGGTCTAGATTCTGTTATTCTCAACATGTTATTTAGTGATACTTCTTTGATTGTTTATTTGAAAGTTGTCTAGCTAACATCATTACAGTATATCACGTAAGCCAGTTGGTGCGCATTTGGTGTTTGTTAAGTTACTCACTTTGTATGGCATAAGCTACCAAATTAATGTCTAAATTCAACGGAAACTTGCTATGCTTGTAATAACTTCTAACCATCAAATGGGATTTGATTTTGTTTTCATATCTGGTCAACCTCTCGATCTTAATTACTATGGTTATTAGCCGAATTAGCAACAGTTTCTCGAGAACCGCAAATAAAAATCGTAGAAAAAACATTAGGTGTGTCTTTCTTTCAGTGGAACGATACTTCATATTTTCTCATCGGTTTACTCTTCCTATGAATGGTGAGTCACAGTCCAACTGTTGTTGTTCTTGCACAATTTGAAGTACACATATATAATGTTTAAATCAGTTTTAGATTACAAAGTGATGATTAATCAAGTCATAGTACTGAGTTTAAATCAATTCCTCCATATTTCCCTATGCGTTTATATTTAGTTCAAACTCAGTATGATGGCCTGTTTTTATAGGCCTAGTTAAGTACTTTCATGTTCGTTCGTAGAGAACTACTCCATTTGACAACGTACTACTTTAGTATCAACGAGTAAATTCCACTCACGCTAAAGATATTTCTAGCTGACCATAGGTAGTTGACTTGATAGAGTATTGTGATTGTTTATTATGAACTGGCATGGCAAACTAGTTTAATCTAGAACTGTTCGACCGTGTAGAATTTCTTGTTTTTCTGATATCATATGTGAAAGTATATAGCATTTACCGCTGTCATGTTCACTACTGTCTTACCAGTTACATAAACTTATTCTCAATGCTCGAGTATCAATCTGTTAGTCTACTAACTGACTATTATTTGTGTGATGCGTCAAAATGATTGTCGCTGTCATGAAGTTAATGGCATTGTCCAATCTTGCGTTTTTTTGCTAACAAATGTATGGTGACCCTATAGATTATCTAGTAAATTTCGGAACATTAGCTAGATTGACTGCGAAACCAGTACGTCAAGCTGTCAAGTATCACTGCCTTCGAAATTTCCGGACTGAATAGCCACTATTAGTTTACCCTATTGTCCATTATTTTGATAAAATGGCACGTCTTGATATTAATAAAAAGACTAAAATCCAGATAGCGTCCTGTGAACTTTGTCTAGTCGATTAAAGTAGTCTGAAGAAGCTCGACACGTTTTTAGTACGGTGGTTAAGATCCGACTAGATATTGTGCATACAAATAATAACCGACGTAAGAGCGATCAAACTGGTTACAAGTCAACGCCTTGACGACCAAAGACACAGGCTTATGGAAACTTAGCACAAGTAGTATGTCTAGGCTCTTATTATAACGGTTGATTTTCCAACGTTCACACGTATGGGACGTTAATTTACCTTAGACGAATATTTACACTAGATTCCCTCCCAGTGTCTATTCCTCAGGACTTTAACACAACTCAGATCAAGAACAGGTGACTAGCCCGACCATAACGTAAATATATTTTCACATCAAAACCCGACACAATCCAACGACAATGAACAATCAATGATAATTGTCATAAGGATAGGGGAATATATAACTCATCTGACACCTGTCAGACTATCTACATGTCTGACTAAGCAGATAACCAATCACACTCGCACACACGTCACCTCCCTCACTATGTTTGGTCGTATGACTTCACTTTAGGGTCTATTTGAGAAAGTCTCGTTCCCTTGATGATCTTCGGCTAACTTTTGATTTCAATTCTTTCTTTCTCGTTTCAACTTGTGGTGGAGGTGAGATATTAAATGTATCACATAATATTTCCATTGGTAACGTTTTGGGTTTAGATGACTCATAAATAGTTTCCCTTTCTCGCAGTTGATTGGTGTGTCCGATAATTAGTGTATTTTCGACCATTACTTCATACAATACCGTCCCACGTCTTTTTATAATATATCCAAATATCCATTTTAACTCCGCCTTGAGTCCCTCCGGGGGCTACTGCCGGTCCCAAGCCCGGGTAAAGGAGGAGGGTTGGGCATGGGGTTAGCGACCCCATCCCGTAGAAAACTAACTCGCTAAAAAACGCTTACCAGAAAAAATTATTCAAGCCCTCTAAACTCTGCCTCGGGAGTCAGAAGGTCTTCCTTTAGAAGAACTATGACGCCTCGTGATGAAAGCCGAATTCCTTCGGAAGTTGCGAGGCCGATGCCCCTTCTGACAACCAGAGCGACCATTTATTTAGGTACATGGAATGTTCGTACTATGTGGGACACCGAGAGAGCCTTCCAAATTGCTGCAGAAATGAGAAGATACAACCTAGAGGTACTTGGGGTCAGTGAAACACATTGGACGCAAGTTGGACAACAACGACTAACTTCAGGAGAGCTCCTGTTATACTCCGGCCATGAAGAAGAAAATGCTCCACATACACAAGGAGTTGCATTGATGCTGTCCAAACAAGAACAAAATGCGGTCCTGGGTCACAAGAAGCACCATCACAAGGAATGGATGACTGTTGATACACTGGATAAGATTCAAGAAAGGAGGAACAAGAAGGCATCAATCAATACCAGTCGAACAAGAGCAGAAAAAGCCAAGGCACACGCTGAATACACAGAAGTAAACAAACAAGTGAAGAGGAGCATCAGAACCGACAAACGTAAATATGTGGAGGATTTGGCAATGACGGCGAAAAAGGCTGCAAGAGAAGTTAACATGAGACTGTTGTGGATGCGCAGGAATAGACCAATAATTATCATGTTAAGTCCAATGGTGTCCTTGGACTTTAAATGGACATTTCCTATTGGTCGATATCTGTTCACTTGTACAAAATGTTGTTTTCTATTTTTATGGTACGCTGTGGTATGCTTGACTGGTATATAAACAAAGTATGTTTGAAATATAGTGATTCATATCCGCGAGGCTGTGACTTGTGTTGTGGATTCAACTAACTGGGCTAGACAGGGAAGCAGGACCAATCAGAAAAATTTACGCACACTGTTGGTTAATTTTACATGTTTCGGAAATGCAACAGAAGTTGGTAATTTCATTTCTCATCTGCAGACTGAGCTGGAAAACAACTGCAGAACATATGAAGCTGCCTATAAAAGCCTCTGTGAATCCCGGACGACCAGTGATGTAAACGAGACAATCATTCATGATCCGCCCAGTTGTTCAGAAATGTCAAATACAGAAACATTCCCTGTTGTGGGTTCAAATCCCACTGTGCCTGAAACATGTGAGGTATCCAGCTTACAAGAAGAACCTCTCGTGTCAGAAAATGTTTCCCGTGCATCAAATAATGGTCAGAAATCTAATACGAATTTCAAAGATGCTGTTTGTTTTAGTGACCTATTATCCAGTGATAGAATTTTGAAGAGGTCTGAAGAATATGTTGCACAAGAATCAAACCTTAATGACCTCATGTCTGGTGTCGCTAATCCTCATCATCTAGTCAGTCTTAGTGAACCCTCTACTCAATGCGCGAAATATGCTTTAATTCAAATCAGACTAACTGTTGCTTGGGTATATGAGGACCCAACGTTATTTCGTGGGGGAGGATGAACCCAGAAAATTTCAAAATCCGGATATCAACTCCGGATCTTCAAAAAAAAGGGGAGGTGTTGTGGATGCGCAGGAATAGACCAATAATTATCATGTTAAGTCCAATGGTGTCCTTGGGCTTTAGATGGAATTTCCTATTGGTCGATATCTGTTCACTTGTACAAAATGTTGTTTTCTATTTTTATGGTACGCTGTGGTATGCTTGACTGGTATATAAACAAAGTATGTTTGAAATATAGTGATTCATATCCGCGAGGCTGTGACTTGTGTTGTGGACTCAACTAACTGGGCTAGACAGGGAAGCAGGACCAATCAGAACTCTAGGCCGTTCGTTCGTGTTTACGTGTCACTGTAAACGATCGATAATACACGGTAGAAAACTACCACAATTTAAATTCATAACAATTGTATGACACGACAAAGAAACTCTCTGGAATTCGCCGCAAACCAGAACGACCAGTGAGAAGCAAGGAAGGCGAGGTAATCACCAACATTGAAGAGTAACAAAACGGGTGGGTAGAACACTTCAAAGAACTCTTGAATCGACCAGCTCCACTGAACCCACCCAACATCGAAGCAGCACCCACGGACCTCCCAATCACTGTTGGCCCACCAACAATTGAAGAAATCAGCATGGCCATCAGACAAATCAAGAGTGGCAAAGCAGCAGGACCGGACAACATTCCAGCAGAGGCACTAAAAGCAGATGTAGCGGCAACTGCAAAGATAGTCCTCATTCTCTTCAATAAGATTTGGGATAAGGAACAAGTACCAAAAGACTGGAAAGAAGGACTTCTGATCAAAATACAAAAGAAAGGCGATCTCAGCAACTGCGATAACTACAGGGGCATCACTCTTCTCTCAATAAATATCCATTTTGTCTCTCCAGGCCGTAAATCACGTGCATAGACTAAGTCACGTGCTTTAAATTCTCGAACCTTCGGGCGATCCTCTTCCTTATTTCTTTGGGGTCCACTCAATCTGTCTTTCGGGTTCAAAACATTAAA